TAGGGCTGATCCCCTAGCAATACTGGCTAAACTTGTCTTTCAGCATCATATACCCAAATCAAGCTTTCCAATGGAAATAGTTTCTGGCAGATGCTGATCACCTCACCAATACATACCAGGACCTATTCATAATTAATTCGGACTCCACATTTGTCACTGAATTAATTAAAAGTTAGCTACTACTTGTGATTAATGCATACACTGGAATATGCTTGTACTGGAACTGGTTTCTTACACATCTACCATTCCACCATAGTACCTACAATCTACTATGTACAGGCTGCCTAATTAGCACATCCTGTCATGGACATGGATATTTTTAATTTCTTTATGGCTTAGAACACAGAAATAAATCCCATTTTATGTGAGGAAGAAACAGGCATCATCATCAAGAGCCACTAAGGTGTTGTGGTTAAGGGTGGAGGACTTCAGGGAACTCGGGCAATCTGGGTTCTAGTTCTCACTTAGCCATGGAGTTCATTGAGTGACTTTGGGCCAGTCACAGACTCTGAGCCAGCCTACCTCACAGGGTTGTTCTTGTGGGGATAAGATTGAGAGGAGAAGGAGAATTATGTAAGCCACCCTGAATTTCCTGAAAAGAAAAACGGTGTGATATAAATATAATACATAAATAAATAATCTCAACTGGTGTTCAGAACAGGACAAATTTGGGATATTTGTCACACCTTGCACACAAAGATGGAATCTGGCTGAAATCTGATGCTAAAGCATTTTGACTAAGGTAAGCCTAATAAATTCTCAATACACAGTTCTGAAAACTTGGGAGATAGCATAACTGTGTTTTTCATAGAAAGTGTTTTTTGTTGATTTAATTAACTCTGACGTTGAAGAATGATGGTGCCAGCAGCAGAAGGTAGTAGTTTGGTTTTCCCACATTGCAGCTACTTAAACCAGTCCCACTTGGAAGTGTGTTTTGGAAAGCGAGCACTGATGACTTCGCAAGAAAAAAATCAACTGCATGTTGAAAATCAGTGTTCTATGTATGCAATCCTTTAAAAGATCATTGGGTATCATCTCTGTAGCAAATTTTTTTGTGATAAATCTGTATTGTTTTTATCCAACCAAATCTTGGTATCTCAATGTCATAAAGATTCATACCAAGGAAAATAATCCTTGGCTTGCCATATATCCTAAAATTCAATTTTATGGAATTCTAACTACATCTGAAAATGACTTCAAACTCTTGAGGTGCTTTATATTTCTTTGCATCTTATGTTTCTTTCATGATGGATGTAAAGAAGTAAAGAAAGATCTCAGGCAGTTTCTTATCTAAGGAGCTTATCTAGCCTCAGCAAGGCTGCTGTATTATGCACTTCTGTATCATTTTGGAACCAAAATTTCTGCTGGTTATTACCTATAAAGCCCTAAACGGCTTGGGACCAAGATCCCTAAAGGAACACCTTTTTCCTTATATGCCTTCCCACACCCTAAGATCCGCAGCAGAGGCCCTCCTCTGGGAACCCTCTTTGAAAGAGGTTAGGAGACAGAGTACTCAGAGGAGAGCTTTCTCTGAGGTGGTGCCCCAACTATGGAATGCGCTCCCTAGAGAGGTCTGCCTGGCGCCATCATTATATGCTTTTCGGCACCAGGTCAAGACCTTTTTATTTGACCAATATTTTAACATATAGTAATTTCAATTGTGTAAGACTTATTTGTTTTAAATAGAGTAGGTTTATGCTCAGTGTGGAACAGTTAACTTATTTTATTGAGGATTGAAATGATCTTGTAAGCCATCCAGAGACAACAGTGATGGACGGCCTACAAATTTTCAAAATAAATAAATAAATTTCAGGAAGAGAATGACAGATTACAGGGATATGAACAGGGAGGGTAAGCACTCGCTTTAGGGAAGGGAGAAGGAAAATAATGGGTAGCCAGTAGCCAAGAGAAAACGTTCTCTAGGCAATACAATAATATTACTCTTGATTTATTTGGAGTAATTTGGCATATTTTCCTGTTATACTTACACGAGCTTTATATGTGTAGACATATATATACTAAAATGTTAGAAAGAGATTAGAAAACTGGGAGGGAAATGTTTGGCTGAATGCTAATCTATACATGCCAGTTTGACCTAATTGTCCTCATTATTCAAATCTAAAAGGTGAACGAACTCAAGAAAATTATATTTCTATCTCTTGTGGTCTTTCTCCTTGAGTTCTGCATTCACCTATTATTTTGTCCTTGATTGCCCTGATTGCAGGATAACTGGCCTACAGTTTCACAGGGTCAGTCAGTTTGCCCTTTAAAAAATATTGACACAACATCAGCTCAGGATACCTCGTGCTGAGAAGTGGCGTACTGCTTGAATGCTGTTTGCCTTGCAGGCATTAACCTTTAAGGACTGAGTGACTCTGAAATCTATTTATGATGGGGAAAGCACTTTGCTTTCAGTGTAAAATAAAGATCACAACTGCTGCAGACCTAAACTATTGCTTTTGTTATTTTTTCCTTAGGAGCGGACCCACTGTTTTCCTATTTAGTGCTAGGATATTCAGATATAGGTATGACTAGCAAAGAACTGATTTGGCAGGTGGCAAAACCTTATCAAGGGCAACTGTGTGAGACATTTTTAGTTTCCTCAATTTATCCATATGGTATCTAAAGTAATGTGTACACTTTATGGGGATTTCCTTGTGGGCTTTTATGAAATTGTTCTTAAGAGATTTCTTTACATAAAAGGTAAGCATCTTTAATGTAACACAGAGGGGAGTCCAGAGGGCAAGTTGTTCTTAGCCCCGTAACTGGATCCCTGTACATATCCAAGAATATATCCAAGAATGCTTTTCTTTATCATCATATATATAAATAAATAAGGTGTGTGCTATGAGGTGGACATTTTGAAGGGTGGTTATGGATTTTGTGGCATAAACATTTTGCTGAGAATCTTCTGGGTGCACACACATTTTTAATGGTGATAAGAAAGAAGAGGGATATGAATCATTATTTCTTTTTGAGAGGGGGAAGAGTAAAAAGGGGGAAATAAAACAAGATGTAGCTATATAAATTTTAATGTATCAGGGTCGATGCATGGATATTAAATATGTTTGAACATGCATATGAAAATAAAGCTTTCTAAGAATTATACATAACCTTCAACAAAAGCAAATTAAATATCCATATAAGTATCTATTCACAAACATGCTACTTGTTGAAAGTGTTGTAAAGTCATGCAATCCATTGCACTGTAGGGCAATATTTATTCTTTCAGTCTTTTGGCTGTCAAAAGGGCATAGAGAACCCGTTTGTGCTGGCCATACATTAACTTGCAGGAATCAGGTAGATAAATGAAGAGTGTTCCGATACAAGTTTTATCCGAACAATAACCTCTTCCCTCTAAGGGGCAATTATTGGGTTTTGCAAACACATATGGATAAAGGAAACATTAACTGTGTTACCCTTCTAGCAGTTAGCTGACTCAGACAAGAAGGGATGGGTGTGAACCCCAATCAGGGCATTTCACTGTACAGATTTTTTTTTTTTAGGTAACTGTATGTACCCTTTGAAATGTTAAGGATACATACAAAATCTGGCATTCTTTTGCATACATTTCACCTGTGTGATTAAAAAATGGTTTACTGCTTCGCTTCTATCTAATATATTTTTGCCTTTCAGTCTCCACCACACAATATTTTGCTGGTGCTATGACTGAAGTAAGGTAAGGGAGAGAAAACAGTGTGTGTGTGTGGGGGGGGGGGGGATAAAGGAAAACACAGGAAGTATCTGTAAGTAAGGAGTGCTGAGCATCAGTTCAGTGGTAATATACTACAAGGTAAAAATCCAGTGGTTAACAGTGAAGTCCCATACATATTTAGGTGAGAATAATAATGCAGAGAATTGGTCTGCACATAACAAACCACTGTGGCTTACTTTACCTGTGAGGGCCACTGCACAGTGCTGGGTGACCACCAAGTTTACATGGTGCCCATGGACACCCAGCTTGCCATATTGTGCAAGCCCGAGTGGCAAGGATTGTTTGAGGAGGTCAGCCTCCAAATGACCCTAAAACAAGTCATGAATTTGAGGGTTGTTTAACTTTCAAACAACCCCTGCTATTTGCATACACGCAACATGGAAAGCCAGAGCAAACCAGTTGCATGGCACCTGCAGCTCTTGGCATGATGTAATGTAAATTAAACAATGGTGGATTGTCAGATCATGCGAGCCAATTCTATCAGTCACACTGTTTATTTATTATTTAGATTTATATCCTGTCTTTTTGCTTGTTTAAAGAACTCAAAGCAGCTCACATAATTCTCCTGCTGCTGCTCTCAAACTTATCCTCACAACAACCCTTCAAGGTAGGGTGGGCTGAGAGTCTATGACTGGCCCAAAGTCATCCAGGTATCTCTTTGGCTTAGCAGGGACTAGAATCCACTGGAAATAAAGTCACAGTGCCAGCAATTAGCTATGATGGAAGGTTTAAAATCTACCCATCTACCTGGCAGGATTGTACAGAAGGTGAATGAGATGTGGTGTTACAAAGCTGCGTGATTTGGCAGTGGTAGGTAGAGATGGACTGGCCTTCTCTAGGCTAATCACATGTTAGTCATTGCATTATTAAACATATGTCTTTTTAGGTAGCTGGGAGTTGATGATTAAAGACTCCCTTCTAATTCTGAAAGCTTCCTCTATGATTTTTCAGGGAATTTGACAGTATTGGTAGGGGCCTGTATTCTGTTGCATGGCAGAAAATATGTAATGATGGGGAGAAGACGCAAGCAGTTGTTATCCTCTCTGACTTCTGTGTACACATTTTCCACTGACTGTGGTATCACTGTTCCAGTGAACCTTTGAAGCTAACAGAAAGCTGGTAAAACACATCTGTTTTGCTACCCTTTAGCAATCTGGCTAGAACTACTTGTGCCTTTTCCATCTGTACACTCTGCAAGTGAGGAGATTGTCCTGCAAGATTAATCTTTAATTTCTGGAAAGTTCCATACTGCATGTCAGTGAAGGCTAGCTATAAAAACACTTACCTGAGCAGGAACCATATTGGATAAGAGATGTTCCAACAAGTTTACTCAGAAGTTTATGCCAATGCATCCAATGTGTTTTAGGATGCAATTCTGTGCAGTTTAAGACACAAAAGCCCTACGATGCGTTGTATAACTTTTTTCGGTCGAAACATATACAGGACACTCTATCTTTCTCCAGTAGAACCTTTTTGAGCCTGTTGTACTTGTGTTGAAGTACAACTTCCAGCATCCCCAGACGAGGATGCTGGGAGTTCTAGTGTCAAGACACCTGGAGAGCACCAGATTGGGGCTAGCTGCTTTCGTCATTGTATTTAGGGCTGCAGCAACAGTGCAACTCCGATCCCATGAACGTTACTCGGGATTCCCGTTGTTTAGAATTTCACGCCGGATTTCGCACGCAAAGGATTCCAGGAGGCGTGACCTGTGCAAGGACGGAGGGCCGCACCGACTGTGCGTTCCCACCCACCTCCGGCCCGTTCCCGGGCGCGAATCTTCCGCAACTCCTTATTTTCCCCCTTCCCGGCGCGGTGGAAGCCCTGCCGAGGCGCTCGAGCAGAAGCGCGAGCGCGGGCCCGGGCGGGAGGGGGCCGTGGGCGCCCGTAACCGGGAAGGAGCGGGTTTTGATTGGTCGAGAAGGCGAGAGGTGAAAGGGCGGCCCAGTCCGCCGAGCAGAGCTCGCAGGCGAAGGCAGCGGGGCCGAGAATGATGGCGGCAGCGGCTTCCTTGTGCCGGGCTGGCGTGTGGCAGCAGCGGCAGCAACACCGACTTCTGAGGCGGCTGATCGTGGCGCGACCGGTGAGGCGCTTCGCTGGAGGGTCTGAAGGCGTTGGGCCGGGCGGGCCGGGCCGGGCCGGGCCGGTGGACTCGAGCGGCACTCACCGGAGCAGCGTGGGAGGGAGGCTTGCTCTCCCTGGAGAGCGTTCCGGATTGCTCAGCCGGCGATCGGGGTATCTGCTTGGAGAGGCTGCCCCCTGCTCGGTTCTAGCCTTGGCTGGCCTTTCAGCCCCCTGACACAGAATTCACGTGACCTAACTGGGCCTATGCGCTGGGCGAAGGGGCGTTGTGTGCATGTGTAGTGCCGCAGATGGTACGAGTGTCTGCTCCTGCCTTTGCCTGTATGCCGCTTGCCTTCAGATTTGGAACTGTTGTCTCGCATCCGCGTGGAGAGCTGTGAGGAAGACAGAATCATGTTAGTGGCCTCTGCCGGTAGGTGTAATGGGCAGGGATACGTGTCAGTACGACATGTGTTTGCCCCAAGGAACCAGACGGCTATGTCCGCTCCTCCCCCTTGCATTTGAGGACTGCGCCCGTTTATGGCACGTGAAGAAGGGGCTTTTGTGATGCTCCCCTTTAGTAAAGCATGACAGCTGGTGCAAAGAAAACCTTGCATAAGAGGTCCGTAAGTGCGTTGGCGTATGGGTTTGTGTGTGTGTGTGTGTGTGAGAGAGAGTCAGACAGGCAGAGACAGAGCGATTATGAGAGTTGCCTAAATGTATTTATGCAAGTTTGAAACTTCACCATAGTGCATGTTTGGCTCTCCAGTATGGTCTGATTGTAAGTATGTTTATGTATATACTGTTACCACAAGCAGTGCTGTTAGCATTTATATTTACTTTGTATATGACTTAATCTATATTAATTCAGAAAATGACAGTAGATACTAGTGTATATATGTACATTTGTGGGAAATCATATCCTTGAAGACTCACATGCATGTTTCTGGCTCTCTTCTGACAGTGGAGCTTGTGCAGAGCTGACCATGCAAGCACCGTTTTGTAGCGCTTAACTGTGGCTAGATTGGAAGGGGCTATCATTAGTTTAAGCTCTAAGACTGTTTTTTAATGCATCCGAATTATTTCTCCTTGTTGCTTATTCCTTATCTTCTGCTACTTGAAAATTCAATTAATCATCAAGAGTTACCATGCATTTTTGTTTTTGATCATGCAAACTCAGCCAGCATTGCTCATTCAGACATCAAACTTTTGATGCTTGTACAGCTATATCTGCAGTTATGTCAAATGTTGAGCTTTCTTATTTTGCTCATTTATGTCCCATCCTAAGTGGATGGGACATAAAAATGCTAGGCCAGTGCTTGTCACAATTTTTCAAATAGGAATCACTGTGTTTCTGTGCTGCTTGCTGAGGAAACTTGGAGACTTTTTCTGGGGTGTGTGTGTGTGTGTGTCAGTCAGTCCTTTCCTCCCACCTGGTCAAGTGGTGACGCTGTCTCCCAGATTCGACTGGGGGTCTTTTCGGGCCCCTCTTCCCTCTAAATGTCATACAAGCAAGACCTCAACAGTGAGTCACCAGGCAGATGAATTCTGGCAAGCTTACTTGGCTAGGATCTTAGACTAGGATGGATCGTTTCTTCTTTGCTGAGAGAGTGTTCTTCTCATGTACACAGTGCTGCAGAAATTCCAAGCTCAGGTCTTTGTTGCTCTCCCCCCCTCCCATCTTTGGTCTCTTTTTCCACCAACAGCATTTGTGCAGTGTATAACTCCAGCTAGTCATTCACAAGACTCTTTGCCTCTGGTGCTGTTACAGTACATATAATTGTCCAGTTGCTCCTGCATTCTTTTCTCCCTCTCCCTCCCACTACCATACAGGTGAGGAGTAGCAGATCTCCTGATTCTTCACCTCAGACATCTCCTCCAACAGTCCAGATCACAGCAGCTGACCTACTGTTACAGCAAACAACAAGGCAGAGTTAGAGAGCTTCTGCTGAGGGTGAACAGCTACTGAGGGGAGAGGGAGAGAGAATGAATGAATGAATGAATGATAGGGAAAGGTGGAGAGCTAGACTTCTGGTGATTGGGAGCTTCCATGGCCCTTGCAGTAAAGAACACCGAGCTAGACTGTAGGCTAACACTGTGAGAGGTCCTTGTTTATCGTGATTCCATACAGAATTCATTCAAGAAGCTTTAGAAAACAGATGATTGTGCATCTTATTTTTTAATATGGGCATAATAATGAGTGGCAATCCTTGTATTCCTGACTTGTATTCTTACAGGTTAATCCTGTGTATGAAGCAGGTACAGGTTAAAGATAAATCTCTTTTCACAGAAATACAGGAGGACAGCATCTGGATCAAAAATTAATTGAGCAAAGAATAAAAGGAACATGGTGGTCTGAGTCTTCTACTGTTATTATATATTTCCTTTCAATGCTACACTGTAGCTGAAGTTCCCTGAGTGGTTTTCTCCATAATATCCATAAACACAAATCCATAAAAACAAAACAATAAAATATCATAAAATCAACAACACTTTAAATATTTGAAATAGCTAAAACATAAAGCAAATAATGACCTGTAAAAAATATCTGGGATAGTTAACCTGCTCAGTGTTTAAGGCATAAAGTGCCATCTTAACCTGGTACTGAAATGGTAACAAGTTTGGTGCCAGGTGGACCACAGTGGGGAGATTGTTCCATAGATGGAGAGACACCACAAGAAACCCTTGTTGCCACCCTTCAGGCTTCCCTAAGAATTGGCATTCAGAGGAAGACCCCAGATGTTGAGTGTAGCATCTGAGTGGACAGTGGCTGCAAGAGGCACTCCAACAAGTATTGTGGTCTTAAACTATGAAGGGCTTTATGGATTAAAACCAGCCCCAGTCTAGAAGCATGTGAACAGCAAATGAAAGTGGGCCCGAATGGATCATTCGTGCTTGGACCTAGGGTCCCTGTTATTAATCTGGCTGCTGCATTCTACATGAGCTGCAGCTTCTGAACTGTCTTCAATGGCAGCCCCATTTACAGTGTGTTATGGCAGTCTAGCTAAGAGATTATTTATTTATTTATTTATTTATTTATTTATTTATTTATAGCTTTTCTAACCTGTCCTGGACTTCAGTACATATCCCATTTTTGGCTTTGATGAGCAGCTATGATGGGCAAGGGTCGAGCAGACAAGTTGTGGGTCGGACCAATCCAAGCACCTTGTCCATATCCTCAGGCTGCAACAATTGAAACTTATCCAATAATGATGGACCAGACAGTGCTCTGGACGCTCCCTGCTCTGAAACCATATCAACTACAGAGTCTAGCTCATGGTGAATCTGAGCGATTTCATCCCAAAAGTGCTGGGCAAAGTTCTCACAGTGAACTAAGGATGGTACAATAGGATCCTTTTAGGCCAGAATGTAATAGGACCTGCACCACCTGAGAAAGCTCAGCTGGATGTCACTGTGAGGATGCAGTAGAAGCAGAGAAGGATTCCTTCTTCACCTCCCTCACCGCCACAGCATAGGCTCCATAATGAGCTCTAAGGTGTGCTCGGTAAGGCTTGTCATGGGATTTCCTCCACCTACGCTCTAGTCATCTCCCAGCTTGCTTCATTGCCTGCAGCTCAGGCATATACCATGGCGCTGAGTGGACTCTGCATGGTGAGAGAGGACTCTTAGGAGTGATCATGTTGATTGCCCTGGTGATTTCCCCATTCCACAAATCAACCAGTGATAGGGAGTGCCAACGCTATCAACTGGAAAATCCCCCAGAGTCCTCAGGAATCCATCTGGATCCATAAGAATCTGGGTTTGAACATTTTAATATGGTCTGCAACCTTGCAGAGGGAGAAACTGGCCCTCAGTTCAAACCTCATGAGGAAGTGATCTGTCCATGAGAAAGGGGTTAGAGTCAACTCCCTCACTTCCAAATCACCATCTTCCTGCCCCGCCAAGAAAACCAGGTCTAGAGTGTGGCCTCTTTCATGCTTTGGGCACCAGGTCTGAGATGATCTCCGTCAGCTCAGGCAGGGAGTCTGTTGGGCAGAAGGGTGAACAGTACACCAACAGAATCCCTAATCTGCCTCGATTACCCAGCGCCAGGTACAGACATTCCAGACCTGGCCTCGAAGGGACCAGAAGCCCTGTGAGGGAAATAGGGCCACACCCCTCCCCTTCCCTGTAATCAGTAGACTGTAGATGAGTGAAACCAGGCTATCCCTATTCACTGGCATAGCTGGGCCACCAGCTGGAGCTGGCAGAAGGCACTGTGAGCCACTGAAGCTACCTGAGACTCAAGCTGCAAAGATGGATCAAGGAGAACCAGGCTACAAGGAGAACCAAACTACAAACCTGTTCCTTCAGGGTAACTCCATCCAGAACAACCCTCCATCTGGTCAAAAGAACCACCTACCACAGCATGTTAATCTTTTGGCCCTCACCCAGTCCATTGTTGCAGCCAGGCACTGGTTTAGCACATTCATAGCTTCACCTACTGATGATGGCAATACACTCTAGATGACCCTACTCAACAGTTTCATGTAAACATTAAATAGCATGGGGGCAGAACCAGATCCCTGAAGAATTCTTTCATACCTGGGGTATGGGAAACAAACAGCATGGACTTGAACTCTTAATACAGGAGGGTGAATACAACCTGATAGGTATAACTGAAACTTGGTGGGATGACTCCCATGACTGGAATTCAACAATTGAAGGATATAACTTGTTCAAGAACAACAGAAGGAACAGAAAAGGAGGTGGGGTTGCACTGTAAGTTAAAGATACATATCTTTGCAGAAAAATGTAGGAGGATATGCTTAGTTGTCCCATGGAGAATATCACGTTTAATATAAATGGAAGAAGAAATAAAGGGAACACCGTAGTTGGAGTCTATTACTGGTCACCCAGTCAAGAAGAAGATGAGGATGAAACTTTTGAATAGGCAATTGCCAGTGTTTCAAGGGAGTGTGATGTAATCATTATGGAGATCTTCTATTTCCCTCCAAGAGATTCCTAACATGTGTTGCTGATCACTTCAACAAAAAGAGAAAGGAACAAGAGGAATGACTA